GAGCGGCGCAAGCAGCGGGAGTGAGAAATCTTCGTCGCTCGGCGCCGGCACTCGTAGCTTCTCGCCGTCGCTCGTCTCGTTGATCGCTATATTGCTTACATGCCGTTCAGAAAGGCGCTCTAAGTGCTTAACATTGCATTGGGACCAGCCTCGCATCCAACCGTAACCAGTCTTGACTTTCTTTAAAGCCGCACAGGTAGAAGTTAACATCGTACATACATCGTTTTCAAGCATGGCTCCTCGTTCATTGCTCGATTTACTCCTCGTTCATTGCTCGATTTACATTTGCGGTAAATGACAAACCGCAATGAAGCACAATTATTCTAGTTCAAAATTGTCACGAACACTTGGCACGCATGCTTACACAGTAGCGCACCAAACGTAATTTAAAAGTAGAACGAAAACGGGACGAGATTCGCTTACCGTTTCACGGAGACAGACGCCTTCGGATTCCAGGCCTAAAGAACTCGGAAGTCGCCGGCGGTCCGGAGATCGGACGAGGCGAGCCGACCGCGCTGACCCAGGCCGACCACACCTGGTTGAACTATGAGAGGCGCCGTCGAGTTTAGAACCAGAGACGCAGTAGAAACGGACCGCAAAACATCTGTCCCGTAACCGTAAACGAGCCAACGAACCACATCGCGCTATCTTCGCTATTGTTCGCCATCTCCGCGACGACCGGAAGTGGAAGCCGCGAACTTAGAAAAGCCGCGGCAGCGGAAGCACCAAAGCCACTGGGCGGAAGCCTTAAGTTTCGGTTTCGGTTTTCTCCAACGCCGGCTACGGTCGCTACGGTTGCGGGCTGGTGAGTTTGTGGCTGGTTGCGAGGACGCGAGGGGCCACGAAAAGACGCCGAATTTGCCGAGTACGTGCAACGGGCCGTTTGCCGCTGTCGACCGGCGATGCGGTATCCGCGGCTTGGTGTTACGATCGGTTTCTTGCCGTGCACGTTAACTCAAAGCTCGAAGTTCCGCAGTTCCGTTCCGGCACCAGCCGCACCACGTTTTCCGGTGCATCGCACGTGGAGTCCTTTCGACGCATTCAGTGAAAGTAAAGATCGTGTCCGCTGTCTTCGGTGCTGTGGAAGAAGTTGCGAGACGGAAGAAGCATCAAAACCAAGGCGTTTAGGACTCCAGGCCGGGCCGCCGGTTCACTCTGAACGAGAGGCGACGTGTGTGCCCACGCTTTGAGGAAGCCTCCGCGTTTCGCCGCGCCAGACCTCGCCGATCGCGACAGGACCAACCGGACCCCGAGTCCGAGAGGCTCTTGCGCAGCCAGGAACGGCACCGAAGTAGGAGCTGCTCGTTCTGCGCTACCATGCAGTGCTCTACAGTGCTCGGAGCTCTCGGTGTCATTCGTGCTTGCACTGAAGCCATTGTGACCCCTTCGGACGCGCAAGTCGTACTTCGCAAAGGTTTGGACGGGGCCGCCCTCACCGAGCAGCTCCGCTATATTCCGCTTACTTATGATCGCAACAAAAGCTTGCGTTTGTTCTCGGGAAAAAAAAATTGCGGGACCGCTCTCCGCGCCGCTGACGAGGTTGGCCGCCGCCATGTTCTCAGCTGTTCACTCGCTCCTGCAGCGAGCGCCTTGCGATTATCCTTCCCGTTCCAAAATGCGATGCGCTTTGCGCATTATGCCGTTTACATGATCATATATTGAATGCGGCAACTGGATTCAATGCGACTAAGTCGCATTCATGTAAACGCGGCTTATGTTCTTTTTCGACATACATGGTGTATGTACGATACCGGTGGTGAACGATGGACGTTTTTGGTGGAAGATGGCGGTCGTCTTTCTGCATGTATGATTTAGTTATACCGGTGGTCCTGTGGTGTAAGCGTTTTGTTGGAAAGAAAGCGGTCGCCTACGTCATCGGACGCAAAATCATACCAGCCACACGGAATCATATCGGCAAGCAAACTGGCTGCCAGTATAGACAGACCCGGAGCCATAGCGGTGCCGGTATCTCCAGTTATGCAGAACGCCAAACCAAACTAGCTGCATACATAATACCAAGAAATTATGGTGGTGTCATACCAGAATTGTAAAAGCGGCAGGTTTGTTTCTTGTACGTTTTTTCAATAGGGTAGGAACAAGTGCGCCTCTGCAAAGGCATGAACCTTCCAACCGGATATTGTTTTATCATACTTTTAAGGCAACGCCAATTTATTCGAAAACTTAAAGCGAAAAGCGAATGTTTTACTCACTCTTATACCTAGATCCACGTTTGCCGATTGACTGGATCACGGCTAGAAGTAAACCTTTACGTAAAACTGGGAATAAGCAGTAGCTTGCAATTACCTGTCTATTTTATTATCATGTTCTTTCTACGAACTATTTGAACACATTATAAATAAACATACATTTGAATTTCTAAAAACCCTAATGTACTGTCAAAAAGCCAACATGGCTTTAGACAAGGATTTTCGACTACTACTCAACTGATGAAAATTGCTCATGGCATCGTATTTGCTCTGGACCAACAACAACAACAACAACAACAAACGGAAAACAAAGTAGATGTCAATTTTATGAACTTCGCAAAAACGTTCGATAAAGTGTCGAGTGTGAAGCTTCTAGGCCAACCCAGAAACTACCTGAAAACGATCATATAGTTGACTGGATACAGGCTTACCTTACAAACATTAACCGTGCAATATGTAAAATTTAATAATCAATATTCTTCCTCACTTTCGGTAGGTTCTGACGTCCCCTAGTGATCGGTACTTGCAGCGTTTTTTTTCTAATTGCTTATTACCTATATTCCTAACGATATTTCTCCTAAAATGCGTATTTACGCAGTTGATTGTGTTAATCAGGTTTATTGATTTAATGATGAGGGTAAGCTCAAGGACGATTTAGATAATGTTGTGAGGTGGTGCAATACGTGGCAGATGTGTAGAAACAATCAGAAAAAGTCTTTGTGTGAGTGTGACTAACAAAGAAAAGCTTTTTTTTTATACTGTTATTGTTTAAACGAGCGAATTTTAACTTGAGTCACCGAGTTTAGATACGTGCGTTTCTGGATGAGCCCAACTCTTCGATGGGATAAACGCATCAGTGTAGTTCCCGGTAACGCCTTGCGAAAATATTCTTTGTCAGACAAACATTAAAATCAGCCACTTCAGATTCTCGACTCTTGGCTTTACATAACCCTCATTTATCAAATTTTAGAGTATGCTAACCTTATTTGCGATGCATTCGCACAAATAGGCATTCAGTAGATGAAACGGATACAGACCAAAAGTGTGAGGTATATTTTTAACGCATATCAAACTATATCTGTATCTCAGCTTCCCCAACAGCTTTCGTTTGGTTCAAGAACGAACCCGTAAATGCAGCCTTTGATTTATATTTCAACTGATTAAGGGTCACTATAAAATGAGAGTGGGTGAATAAATTAATTTTTCCACTAGATATTTGACCCGCAAAAGGCCCCCACTTATCATTTCACATTACTAACCAAGCATTAACAGTTTTAAAATTTCCTTTTTTCTTCAGGAACGGTTATAGAAAGGAATGGGCTTTCTCGGGATGCAACACAAGCAACACTACAGCAGATCAACACAAATACAACATGAAAACTGCAAATACGCTACTGTACTTCAAATACACAACTCAAACACAAAAAGTTGAAATAAAAGCCAATACACGTGATCAAGGAAATACATCTTAGACATCTTGTAAACCCTGAGATGGGGAACGATAAAAAAACGGACGAAAACAACAAAATCTTTCTTTAACGTTCCCCATCTCAGGGTTTACTAGATGTCGATTTAATTACCAGCTCGCCTGCACTCTCTCACTGCTTACATCTTAGATCGTTTCCTGAACTTTGTGGAAAGAAAGTATTTTCCAAAGTACCAATTAAGTGAGGGTAAATGTTCAGAAGGTTTGAAATTTGTCAATTTAATAGTTGTGTACCAAAGGTGGGGTTCTAGTTCTTACAAATCTGTCTAAAATTGTAGTTTGTATCAGAATTTTTTTATGTAGAAAGCAATAATCCGCGGTCGGCTTTGAGTTTGCGAAAACCCTTTCAGACAGTTGCTGGTTATATAATTGGCTTAAACATTTAGTATACGATTTAATTCAAAGCAGGAAGAAACACGATTGAAGCTTCATATGTTTTGAATAAACTGCACGCCTTTTTTATGCATTAAGCACCGACTTTTTATATTATATTTAGTTGCGGCTCCCATTTACCTTTGTGTTCGGCAGTCGTAGATGCCATGTTGATCTTTGTTTGGATGGTGGGTTGTATCTTTTCTCCTGGTACCCTTGGTTGTCATCGTTATTTTCGTGGATTTTCTAGTTTTTCAAACACATTTCATTTACTAACTTAAGCTGCGTGCTTCTGATGGCCATGGGCCTACTAAGAACGTCTTGGTGTAATAAAAGTTTAGATGCGTTTGGAGGTTTCGGCTTATCCGTCCTTTTTTTTTTCATCACTGCAGTGTTCCAATAATAGACATAAAACAGGTCGCACCCGCTCTCGCTTTACCTTGACACAGCTATTCATTTAGTACCTTAAGCTGCATATAGCTGTTTGTATGGCGGGCGAAAGGTTCTGCCGTGGACGTAGCCTTTACCTCCCATTAAACAGAAGTACACAATATATACTGAGGTGCGAATTTCGTAAGGGACGCTGCTAGCAAAGTTATACTCAAGATAACATCGTCGGCACGTAAGAAGCTTTACGTGGCTTTTAAACGTTTAATGAAGAACACCAGGAAATAAAACTGCGCGAATTATGTTCATAACCGAAAGCAACCTACACTGCATTACAACGTCCGCATGCCTGGATTCCAATCTAAGCGGACATTACGGTTCGGGCGGGATGTGTCAATTCCCCCTTATTCGCTGGTACTACCTACGGAAATTGCAATGACTGACTGGCCTCGTGCTGCGTGGGAAGCTACACGCGCGGGTGTTCCGAAGCCAACCTATGCAAAGCGTACTTGTTCCCATACTTCTTTTCAACGTTCCTCTGTCAACAGGTTCTGCGACAACTTCTTCATGTATGCGACCACCTTGTCGTCGGTGGACCTGGGAGGCAGCGCCTTCGTGAACTTCGCCCTGTCGGCCGCTGCCGAGATCCCTGCTGGACTGCTCAGTTTTCCAGTGGTGCGCTATTGCCGACGCAAGAGGGCGCAAGCAGCAATGCTCCTCCTGGCCGGCATCGCTGCCATCCTGACTTCTGTGTTGCCTTTGGGTGAGAGAGCCGAGGAGAGAAATCCTTGGCCGGAGCACGCAATCGCACCACAGCAGCCAGCACACTGCTTGAGACGCTGTCTTGGCTTCGGTGCCGCAGAGCAGTCCTAAGTAGAAGTCTAGAAGGCATGTCATCCAGATTAAAGCGGCCAACTATACTCACACCGCACGCCCGAACGAATTGCTAGAACGACTGAGGTGATGAGAAGAAAAACAGCGAGGGGCCAGTCGAAAGACGATAAAAAAAAGTACATAAAAGAGACAACAGACCTCTTGTTGCTAGAAAACGCATTAAAAAAAAATCTTCAAGCAGCTTCAGCTTTGGGCAACTGACGAGATACTCAGGCGTCCGACTCCGGAGTGTCACGCTCGTCGCGGATTCACCTCTTGATGCCTCCAGATTTCGCCTTTGCGGAACAAATTCGACGACAGCCGTCAGCTTTTTGTTTTTACTGTTTACGTTCGCTTTCTCCTTTCTTAAGGAATATTTTCACCTAACGATCTGCCGCGATGGACGCTACGAGCTAGATGAATCAATCCGTAGTTCATAGCTTGACTCGTGACTTCGCACTCGCCGCGTCGATCTGCCCAACCGGAAGAGCACGTGACGCGCTCCGAGCTATGAATTGGCTCCAGTGGCTCATAGCGCCCTTTGCGGTCCATCGTAAGCTGAAACAAACTATAGGAGTGTACGCCTCCACGCCAACTCGCCGACGCCAATTTGTGCTGCACGTAGACTTGAAGAAATATACTTATTTATTTCATAATTACTGAGCTGTCTCCATGTCGCCGCTGCCGTTTGTTTAGTCTAAACTGAACCGCTGATACCACCGTGGCGAATATTTAAGTGACTTCACGCCGCCACCCGCAAGAAGGTGCGGCTCCCATTTTATTGCACCTAACCGTTTCCAATGAAGTGGTAACCGCCACATAAGATTACAGTTCTGTCCCGGTTCGGGTTTCATATAGAATGTTTGATTTCGGTTACAGTTTTTGTTTCACTTCAGTTAAAAATAACGGGTTGGCTCCCGTGATCTGTTCGGGTTCGGTGTAACACCCTGGTTAAAAATTGCATGCTAATCGCGCATGATTTGTCGCGTCTCGCGGCGCCCGGAACGACACCTTGTCCGTCTAACGTTTGGTTGCTTCATCGAGGGCGCGCCATTTTCATCGTCGAGGGAGTATAAGCCAGTGAGGCAATGAATACGTAAGTCACCTTTAGTGCAAAGATGCTGTTTCAAGAGTCACCTACCACGCGTTTGCGAATTGTGCCATCAGCCCGTAGGCCCTAGATGAAAATGTACACAGCCCGCATAAGAACCGAGCACATTCCATTCCCATTTCATTCCGGGGTCGCGAAGGTGCGGAATGATTCCGGAATTATTCCAACCCCGCAGTTGCAACTCCGCAACCCTGGTTTACATCCACTAGTGATGGCGTTAGAAGGGGAAAGGCGTATATCTTTTTTTTTTAACTGGGTGATATTGTGCAGAGTCGGTCTTGTTCATCCGCCCTTCGTTATCCTCCAAATACGCTGGAGGCTAATCTTCTTTTTTCCAGAAAATTTTGCGGTTGGTAAACGACTGCCAACGAGAGCTGGCTCTCTGGGACTAAAGATTAGATTGTCGACTAGCCAATGCTACTGGGACTGAAACAATGACGGAGGGGAGGGGAATGTACGAGTTGCAACATATATTTTGCGATGCCTATCATAGGTAAAATGCATGTACAGGGTGTCACAAAAGAAAATTTACACGGTCTTTTTTACCGCTAAAATAAACTATGCATCGTCGAGCGCTCATTCTCCGCCCAAAGGTAGAGCTAGAGGTCACAACCAGATGCCAAAGTTTCAGCCCGATCCGATAACTTAATCAAAAGTTATGAGTGATTTTCTGAAAATTTCAATGGAAAAATGGCCGCCGACGGAGTTTTCAAACACATGGGGCTCTATGGCACCAGAAACCGAAAACGGGCAAAAATGGGCTCCATTTTCCCATTGAAATTTTCAGAAAATCACTTATAACTTTTGATTAAGTAATCGGATCGGGCTGAAACTTTGGCATCTGGTTGCGACCTCTAGCTCTACCTTTGGGCGGAGAATGAGCGTTCGACGATGCATAGTTTATTTTAGCGGTAAAAAAGACCGTGTAAATTTTCTTTTGAGACACCCTGTATATAATTCACAATAAATTGCGACTCTGAGAAATCCCACCGCGAGAGAGCGACACAATGTCCTGGAAAATATCTTGTTCTTTTAGTTCAAAAGCTCCAAGTTGTGATGTACGATAAAAAAATTCCGAAACTGATTTTTTTCCTCAGAAAGAGAAGGCAACACGGCGATGTGCGCGTCGCTGTCGAAGGCAGGGACCTTCGTGTTTCATTCTGCAAAGGGCGTTGTTCTTTGCACATTTGGAGCTGCGCTACACGAACACAATGGCGATTTCACTCTAAACTGCAAACCAGAGCGATAGCGAACATCGATTCTGCGTCAAGCTCGGCAAATTTAAAACAGAGAACCTTTGAAATAGTTTTTTTTTAATTTGCCGAGTTTGACGCAGAATTGGTGTTTTCTCACTCCTTGGTTTGCAGTTTATGATATAATCGCCATTGTGCTCATAAACGGGGTCACGAAGACTCGTGTAACGCAGCTCCAAACGTTCACAAAACGACGCCCTTTGGCATAATGAAACACAAAGATCCCTGCCTTCAACTTCTGGACGCTCATCAACGTGTTGACCTCTCTCTTTTATGCTACGAAATCAGTCTCGGAACTTTTTGAACGCACCTTGTATAAGTGAAAGTGGTGTGAATTTCATGTGAAAGCAAAATCACGACACATGTTTTTCTTCTGATCCAGTGGCAGCATCCATAGGTCACAGATGCAAACATGGCGTGCGTCGTGTGCGTGCCGCTCTCGTCGGAAACACTCAAAGATGCCTCTTTGGCATGATGGAAACAGTCTTCCTATCATGACTACACAAAACAGGCGGACCACACATACACATTTAGCTTGCGGACACAAGTTTTTCAGGCTGATAGTTGGATGCAAGAAATTTAATTTATTTATTAGAGAAGCATAATGGCTCAATGTCAATTATTTGGCATTATTAAAAGCGCACGTCATGCAGGTAATTTGAGACTGCTTGATAGTTAACATCTCGTCACGGGCTTAAGCTGAGTGATTTGATTCATTGCCTATGAATGCAGCGTTTTTCTGTGTGGTGTATTGTTTGTTTAGCTGGACTATCGTAAGATAGATAATAAATCGTAGGTAGTTTGTATTTAAATCGTCGACCAGTAATTGACACCTTTTCTGCAATACTAATTTAGGTGTCCTTCAATGCTTTCTACTACATATACGTAATGCCTCAGTGTTCCCTATGAGACTAACTCCAATATTATGAATATGAAACCTCGTAGAGCGGAGTGAAAAGGGCAGTGAGAAAATTGAGTCACACCGGTCACGTTATCTTCCTACACATAAATGAAATATATATATAACGACTCAGTGGTTTAAGTATTGTAAGGTGCAGCACCGCACGTGTGTACGGTTTCAGTACTGGGAATTTCCGGTTAAATAAGGGTGAATTAACTTAAAACCGTGGAAAAATACTGGTCAACAAAAAATGCGTGCTAACGTGTCTTGCACCACTAAATGTTCTCAACATGTGCAGAACCAAATGCTGAATACTTCTCCTGCATACTTGAAAGTTCTGAACGGATGCCCGCGCAATGTTTTTCAGACCGCCTGTGGATGCGCCTCGGCTTGAACATGACGTGTCGGTTCATCCTGGTGATCTCAGCGGCCGTCAAGTGGGTCTACAGCATGGAAGTGTTTCCCACAGCCGTCAGAGGATTCGGCTTCTCTGCCTGCTTCACCGTGGGGCGCATCGGAGGCATGCTGGCACCCTTCACGAGGGACTTGGTAAGAGCTAACCTTAAGCCTTCCCCTCATCCTATGCCGTGATTCCTAAGGCACTAGTGCAGCATCAGAGGACTATCTTATATAGTTGTTCAGTAAACATTTGAAAGCAAACAACGAATGTAATTTTTATCACTTCTATGTTTACTGAAAATATAATATAACAATATGTAGTTTTATTTTATGACAAGCTCAAAACATAAAATGCTCTACAGGGTGCGGCCGTAAGAACCAGCACATTTGGCACAACTTACAAAATTCGAATTCTAATCTTACATTCTTCAAACTGGACACACCAGTGTCGTTTTGCAAAACCTATTATGTCGATATTTTTTAGAGCTCCACTCAAAAGTGAAACTGCATCACTGTTCGTACATTTTGTTAAAATCATTAATATTGTAAAGCGCTAAACCTTGAAGTAGAAAACAAAAACATATAGCCTAAAAATAAGTATGGAACGATGCTGGTGTGGCAGTTTTTTAGGTGTGACGCCGGTCTTCAGTGTCATGCGGACGTAACGGGTCGTCGACTCGATGCCTACGAAGCCTTCGACTCTCCACTTTTCATGGCAGACCCAGTGAACCTTCCCATACACTTCTAAAAGTTCGCAAATCGCGTCGTACGAGATGTGAGGAGACACCCAGGGCAGGGAGACACGAATTTCGGTGCAGCTGGCGTCGACGACGACGCACTTGAGGTTCTCGATCTCGAACTCCTTGTTGGCGAGAAGTCGATTTTTCGCTTCCGGCGTCCGAAGCGTCGGGAGCTACACGTGGTTTTTATAGAACACTCACAAAAGCCACGACGTCGGACAACCTCGCGAGACGCTTCAACTCCTGCCTGAAATTCTCGATCCGTTACGGACGTCTCTTGAGGTCGCGATGAAGCAGAACGGAGTTCAGGCACGCCGACCCGGTTGCATCGGTGGCAGCACGACCACAACTTGTCGGCCGAAGCCGTGCCAACGGAAGAAGCACGGCCAACGAGGGCCGCTTTCGCCGCTCCAGAAGAGCTTGCCGTCTTGCGACCGTCTCGTGCGAGCGCAGAAGCAGTCAGAGCTACGCCACAACGTTAACAAGCCGCTCTATATTTGGGGTTTTTGTGGTAGCCGATGTTTACTGCACGCACTCTGTGACAAAAAAACAAAAACAAAAACATATAGCCGATAACAAATTTCTGTTGTAGCACTGTCAATATCAAGAGCTCGTGCCAAGAGACGCGCTTTCATGCTTTTCAATACAAAAAAGCAGATATGTACACGTTACTAAAAAAACAAGTAACTAATACCGTTACTTGTTCGTCGATGTAAACAAAATCTAAGTACATCACTCGTTGCCGCTTCTTAAAATAAACGCGTTGATTGACCTCGAACGTATCGTGTTACGTTTCTCGTTACTTTGACGACCAAATACACAGCTGTATTTGTTGCACTCTTTTTTTTCTTTCAGAAGTCGTTGCAGTTAAGCCGTAGCTGTCTCTCGAAGATTTCATCAGTTATGTTTCCCCATTTTCTTGAGAATACAGCCTGACACTGACGAGTCGTTCTACTGACAAGCTCGATGACCGGCAGTGTTGTGCTTCAGGCAGAGCTGGCGAATCTGGGATTCCCTTCTCTTTGTAATTCTCTCTACTTCTAATGTTCGAAGTTGACAGTGCGTTCTGTGCCTTCCCGTGTAGTCAACCTCTGGGCTTACATTCGGTCTCTACACGGTTCTGGAAGGTTTAACCAACGAAACTCATTGTGTTTGATGGGTGAAGGACGTTCCAAGCTGTAGATTCTGACTGACGTGTTCAGCCATAAACGTTTCTATACTGTGTGGGGCTCTTTATGGAGGTCGCTCTACTAATAATCACCGCCACCCGATCGGTGTGCGCTTCGCTCGTCACCCAGAGAGTGACATACCACAACGAAAAGACAGCGAATGGGTTTACTCTACCTCCTGGTTGCCCGTCGTCGAGAGCCGGCAGTCCGGACCCGCCGACCCTTGTTGTCGACCGTCGATCAGAGCTCGCAGTCGGAGTCCATGTCCAGCCCTGCGGATCGCCCTTCTTACGCCAGTGCTGCGTAGGCTGGCTGTCCCGGGCTATCCTAGTCCGAGTCTCGCTCCGGCATTACCCCGGGATCGTCATGGCCCAGGTGGGTATGGCCAGGGCTCGCCATTTCCGCCTGTCCTGCTTCAAACCTCGCTGGTGGACCGCTCCGGGGTTCGTCATGGGCCAGATCAGGCAGACCGGCTCCATCGTTCCTGCCCAGCTCCAGCCTCGCTCAGCACGTACTGTCTCGTGCCAGCTCGTGTCTTATCCGCCAACCGCCTGTCACGTGCTTTCTGCCTCGTCTTCCACCGTCGTTTCCGAGAAATGTTGTACTGTTTAGTTGTTTCTTCGGGTTGACCATTTGCGCTTTTTTTGTAATAAACGGATACTCAGGTTACAATTCAGGTTACTATTAAAATGAGGTTGTTCAAACGGTGTTTTACATGTTAGTCCTCAAAAGTAACGATATACCGTTTTTTAGGGAGCGTGTTGGTATTGCATACAATTGTTTTGCGAAAGAATTGCACATAAAAGCCAGAACACAGCGCAGACCAAAGCACGGAAGACGTGTTGTCTGTGTTCTGTTCTTTATGTGTAACGCCTTCGTAAAAATATTGTATGCGATACCAACGCGCTCCCTAATGAACAGCACACTACTTTGAGATCTATGTGTTTGTCACATCCACTTCTGTCGTGAATGATGTGATGTCTGTGCTCATAAAAGCCAGAACACAGCGCAGAACAAAGCACGGAAGACGTGCTGTCTGTGTTCTGTCCTTTATGTGCAATTATATCGTAAAAAATTGTAACGAAATACCGTTACACATTATTTGAACTTAAAAGTGACTAAGTACGTTACTCGCTCCTTTCATAAAATAGTAACTAAATAGGTTACTCGTTACGGAGAAAAGTAACTAGGAGTAAGTAACTGATTACGAATAACGCGTTACGTACATGTCTCACAAAAAGAAAAAGAAAAAAAAAAACCTTTGGAACAAAATTGTGAGATGTCTAATTTGTTCCGAACGTTTTCGTTCACGCACCGCAGGGTGCATGAACGCGACGCTGATGCCACCGAGTTCGCCGTAACGTGTCGCACCTACCGCTCTCACTGTAAAACCCCTTCATCTTTTAAAAGTAGCGCAAGGTGCGTCGACGCACGAGCAGGGGCGGATCTAGAGGGGGGGTCCGGATGTACTGACCCCCCTCTTGATTTCTGCATGTGTAAAATTTAAGGCTTGAAACGAGGGAGAGGGGGAGGGGGTACCTAAACATATGGTACGCTGACCAACACCTGACCCCCCCTTCAGGAAATTCCTGCATCCGCCCCTGCGCACGAGCCACGTCCAACGTGCTGCCCTTGGAAAGATCATGGCGGCACAGCGCAGCACTGAGCTACATTTCAGACACCATGTTCTTCCCAAAAGTGGCGCGCGGCGCGTGTCTCGAGCATTTCCACAACAATATATGGTGCCACTTTTCCCAGAATAGAGGGGCTTTATCTGATTGTACTGTGCATTAACATAAGACTGCTCAATGTTTTGTTCGAAGCGCTTTGAAGCGCGTCTTCCAGTACGAGCTCTTGGCATTGACGGTGCTAAGGCGTCATTTTTGTGATCGGCTGTATATTTGTATATTCCTAGAGAGCGTGTGCAGTGGGCTTCGGGTACTATGCTCCGTTTCACCCACGTGGTTTCACCTTATGTTGTACCGCAGACAAGGCTAAAAGCGCGAGCTCATAGCGTTGGGAGCTACTCTTAACGCAAGAGCTTGTGCCGCCTTGATGTGCCCTAGAGCAAGGAGCTCGCGCTTATAGCCTTTTATGCGGTACATCATAAGGTGAAACAGAGTATACAGAAGCTCAAAGTATTCTGAAGGGGATTAGGGTGCCTCAATAACGCGTTCTTCCATCCAGGGTGGAGACAACCCCGTCGGCGCCGCCATATTGGGTCGTTCGCGTGCAGCTGCGCTATTGCGGGTGGGCTACTTCTCGCTCAGGATACGCTCACATATCGTGCAAGCTACATTACGCGTTGTATCTTTGAACACAGACGCGGATGTCAGAGAGCCTTTTTAACAAGTTAAATAAAAAAATAATTAAGCACATACGAAAAACAAAATACCGCAAGTGAACGCGCGGGTTTTCGTCTTGCGTCTTATTATTTTTGATGCTCGTTTTTCCCTACTAATGGGAATGCAGCAATTTAAGCGGCAGCGCCTATTATATCCTTCACGATATGGCAATATATTATAAATGTTAGAGTTTTTGCCATAGCTTGTTACAGTGGAGCTGCTGTTCTACTATTAGATTACGCCTGTTGCAGAGCTAGGTTTGTAGATTATGCACGTGTTTAGTAATTTATTGCATTACATAATATTTGCAAACACGTGCGATATCACAAACAATTTACGCAAATATACTCGTTCAGTGTGCATTGGAGTTTGTTTACACAAAAGCAAATGCTTTGATTTCCATCATACGAAATATACAAATCCACAAAAGAATATTTACATTTTTAGAAACAAGACAATCTCACTGCAAATTGGCACGAGTCACAGTTTTGCTGCGGGAACCATCGGCCGAGTCTTCTGGCAGAGTTACTCAATGCAAGTAAATGCGAAGGCGCATTTACTTGCACAAAACACGACGACGAAACAGCACGCGTCAAAATAGCACGCGACAAAACAGCACAGCGTCAAAACGGCGCAGCGACAGAAGAGCACGTGCCAAAACAGCGCGGCGTCAAAACAGCACAGCGTCAGAACAGCACAGCGTCAAAACAGGACATTGACAATAGAGCTTGGGTTTGGCGTTTTCGAATTTAGTTATTTTGGAATTCGGCGTACATTTTTCGGTTTTTATTTCAAGCAGAAGTTTTCGGTTTATTGCTGAGTATATTTGTAGACTCATAAACTTTTCAGTTTCTTTCGGTTTATTGACGAAAACCAGTATACTGACAAAAATGCAA